TCTCATTGAGGGCCTTCCCCTTCTTTGTTGACCCTCCACTTTACCAAGCATGTTATCCTTGTCCAGGAAATGGTTCCTTCTGACAGCATGACCATAGTAGGTGAGATAAAGTCTGGCCATTCTTGCTTCCAAGCAGCATTCTGGCTCCACCTCTTCCAGGGCAAGTTTGTTAGTCCTTTAGCAGACCATGGTACTCTTAGCATTCTTCCCTAACACCACAACTCAAAAGAATCAACTCTTCTTTGGTCTTCCTTATTTGTTGTCCAGCTCTCACAGGCATAAGAGGTGATTGAAAATACCATGGTTTCGGTTAGATGCACCTTAGTCTTCAAGGAGACATCTTTGCTGTTCAGCACTTGAAAGAGGTCTTTTGCAGCAGATGTGCCCAGTGCAATATGTTATCTGATGTCTTCACTGCTGCTTCTATTGGTGTTTATTGTAGAACCAAGTAATATGAAATCCTTGACAACTTCAATCTTTTCTCCATCTACCATGAAGCTGTTTATTGGACCAGTTGTGGGGATTTTGGTTTTCTTTTATTGAGGTGTAATCCATACTGTAGACTGTAGTCTTTAATTTTCACCAGTAAATGCTTCAAGTCATCCTCACTTTCAGCATGCAAAGTTGTGTCATCTGTGTATCGCAGGTTGTTAATGAGTCTTCCTCCAATCCTGGTGCCACATTCTTCTTCATATAATCCAACTTCTCAGGTTATTTGTTCAGCATGCAAGTTGGATAAGTGTGGTGAAAGGACACAACCTTGACTCACTCCCTTCTTGATTCTGAGCCATTCAGTACTCCCTTGTTCTGTTCCAATGAAAGCCTCCTGATCTATGTACAGGTTCCTCATAAGTTCCTCATAAGTTCCTCATAAATCAAGTATTCTGGAATTCCCATTTTTCTCAATGTTATCCATAATTTATTATCATCCACACAATCGAATGCTTTTGCATAGTCAATGAAACATAAGTAAACATCTTTCTGGTATTCTTTGCTTTAGCTAAGACCATGTGACATCAGCAATGGTACTCCTCATTCCACATCCTCTTCTGAATCCAGCTTGCATTTCTGGAAGCTCTCTGTCAATATATTGCTGCCACCATTTTTGAATTATCTTCAGTTTGGATTTTACTTACAAGTGATATTAATGATATTCTTAGATAATTTCCACAGTCTGTGGGATGAGAAGGAAGCTGAGTTACTGGGATTATGGTACACAGCGTCTTCTAGTCAAGGAAAGGCCACCCAGATAGACAGGTATTCTGGGTACTTGGGAAGCAGATAGATAGGCTCCAACTCAAGTGATAGGTTGAGGTGATCAGGAAAGCTGAAAAGCAGAGTGGTGAATGTGGAGCTCAAGGAGAAGATTTGGAGTAGATGTGGGCAAGAATAGTTCAAGATGAACATCTAAAATACTGAGCTCCTGCACCTGGATTCCTTGTATAGGCAGATTGGTAAGATCCTGGTGACTGGAACAGAAGTTTAGAACAGGTGAGTAGACAGGTCTACCTTCCTCCTTGTTTATTAAACACCTACTATACGAATGAATTCCTTCCACCATTTGTCAGTCAGTTTGTCAATACGGTGGTGACTTGCATGTTACTGTGAGACTAGAAGCTATGCCACTGGTATTTATCGTACCAGCAGGGTGAACAGGTTTCAATGGAGCTTCCAAACTAATATAGACTGGGAAGAAGCATGGTGCCATCCACCTGTGAAAAAATTGGGCAAGCCAGACTTTGTCTTACCTACCTAGGTCATGTTGTCAGAAGGGACCAGTCCCTGGAGAAGGATATCATGGTAAAGTAGAGGGTCATTGTAAAAGGAGAAGACCCCTAACAAGATGGATTGACACAGTGCCTGCAACACTGAGCTCAAGCATAGCAGGGATTGTGAAGATAGCGCAGGACCTGGCAGTGTCTCATTCTGTTGTACATAGGGTCGCTATGAGTTGGAACCTACTAGATGGCACCTAATATATGAGTTCCTGGGTGATACAAATGGTTAACATGCACAGTTGCTAACCACAGGTTTGGAGGTTCTGATTGAGCCAGAGGTGCCCCAGAAGAAAGGCCTGGTGATCTACTTCTGAAAAGTCACAAACCCCTGGGCAAAGCAAGTCACATGGCCAAGTTTGATGTCATGGGGAAGAGGAAGTAGATTATCTGACATGGAGGCACTGTGCTGCAAGACATAGGACAATGAACATAAGCATAGACTCTTTTTTGGAGATGCAGGGACAGAGAATATTTAGTAAAAGTTTTAAAATTTATTACAGATATGAACAGGCAATTATAATAACAGTATGACCATGCTTTACTGTAAATAAATGTTATGCTTTTGACTTTATAAAATACATTTACATATAAAAATATGTTGTTGTTGTTGTTATGTGCCGTCGAGTCGGACCCGACTCATAGCGACCTTGGGTTTCCGAGGCAGTATCCCTACAGAAGTAGATTGCCCAACCTTCCTTCTGAGGAGTGGCTGGGGGGGTTGAACCGCCAGCCTTCTGGTTAGCAGTCAAGTGCCTTAGGCACTACATTTCCAGAGCTCCTATATAAAAATATATTTTTCCTAAATTAGCTTCAAGGAGCCCTAGTGGCACAGTGATTAAGTGTCAGCTGCTAACCAAAAGGTCACCTGTTTGAACTCACTAGCTGCTCCTTGGAAGAAAGATGTAGCAATTTGCTTCTATAAAAATTTACAGACTTGGGAACTCTCTGGGCAGTTCTGTGCTGTCCTATAGGGTGGCTGTGAGTCAGAGTTGACCCATTGGCAGTGGGTTTGGGTAAGTAAATTAGCTTCAGAGATTCTGCTGCTGAAATGCCTAAGGAGCCGTAGTCTGAAAACTGAGAATTGTTCTAGGCAGCTAATACAGAGAAGGAAGAGGAGCCAGCGGTTGCGCTATTTGAGAAGCTTCTATATTTCTGACACTCCTTTGGATTTATCTTCCATTCATATGGGCTGTCTGCAGACACCTCCACAGCTGTGGGTTTCTTATGAGCTTCTGCTTTAAACAAACATACAGATACTCCTCCTCACCTTTAGTCACGTCCACATGGCTTTAGAAAGATCCTGTCTTCTTTTGCTTCATCAATAAGTCAGTTGATGTTTGAGGCTGGGCCATGGCTTCTTTTCCTAAAGTCCCCACATCTCCTACCACCACACTGGGCACATACTAGACACTTAAGGAGTTTTGCATCAAGAAAAAGCTGACATTGTGTGGGCTGCTCTGCTTGCTCTCTCTCTCTCTCTCTCTCTGCAAGGGAAGCAAGAAATTGTATGGTGACAGTCAGAGTTACACAAGAGTAACTCAGTCCATTTAGACTCAGGTTTAAAGCACTCTTTTCCCTCAGTTTGTAATTGGTATGGGGGTTGGATAGTTTGTCCTCTCACAAGGAGCCAGTATTCATCTGCACTCATGTGTGTTACTTTGCAAGTGCTAGTGGCCTTTTTCAAAGGTATGCATTTGTGTTTTCCAAGGGCAAGGACTATCTCCTTTTTTCTTTCTTTTAAAAAATTCCCTATGGTACCTGATAAGAGCTCTGTGCACAGTGAGGGTTCAGTAAATCTTGCCTGTCTCCTCTTCTTTTGAACCTCCACTAGATACAAAGCATGGTCCTGGGCCCATGGGCCTTTTCGGAGGACTGATTACACACAAGACTTGTTCTTAAAAATTTTGCAGGCAAAAAAGGAGTAAATCCCCTGACAACTCGTATAGAGTAGCAAAGCTGAGTAATTAGCCATGCATACAGGTGTCTGTACTCTGAAACCCCACCAGCATGACAGAGGCCATGTTGTAGGGCCATTAGGTACTTAGCCCTGGCTCTACCCTTTATGAGTATTATAATCTTGGTCAAGTTATTTCTCCTCATTGGATCTCAGTTTCTTCTTCTATACTGAACGATTAATAAAACAATGCTCATAATTGTTGTGATCTTTTGCATTTATAAATATCCCACTTCCCTTTTTGCATTCAGAATAAGTTGAGACTTAAGAGTGAAGAACTGGCAGAAAGTGACTGAACTACCACCTTTGTTACTGATGAAGGGTTGATAAGAGCATGTGGCTTATACACTTCTAATACTGAATCCTGGAAATTGATAGACTTCTCCAGTCACAGGCTAGTTAAACTACTCAGACATCTTTCAGCAGGGGAAAGACCCTGTGTGAAGCTTAGGTTTTAAACGATGGAAGAACATGCATTCACTCTTTGCTTTTTCCTAAGGGGAAGGAGCTCTGCCTCATGTGTACCATCCAAACCTAGTGAAAAGATAATTTTCCAACTCATAACGACCCCTCCTTTGGTTTCTGAGGCAGTATCACTATGGAAGTAGATTGCCCAGTCTTCCTTCTGAGGGGTGGCTGGTGGGTTTGAACCACCAGTCTTCTGGTTAGCTACACTACCAGAACTCCTCTACTTAGGAGGAAATAGCCTTCTATTATGAAGTGGGAAGGTTTTGTGGACCTTAACATCTGGAGATGTTAAGCTGCATGCTAATAATCTTACCTGATAAATTGTTTCTGTTGAGTTTATCATTCATTAAAATAAACCTTAAAGCCCTTCTATAGTGCTTTTAGATGTTATCCTATGCATTTGGGAGAATACAAAAGGCCATTTGTTATCTACGAGCTCTGGTGGCATAGTGCCTAAGGCATTTGATTGCTAACCAGAAGGTTGGCAGTTCAAACCCACCAGCTCCTCAATGGAAAGAAAATGGGATGGCTGACTATTTCCATAAGGAAATGCCACCTTGGAAACCCAGTGGGGGTCAGTATGAGTTGGAATTGACTCGATGACATTGAGGTGGGTTTTTTTTTGGGGGGGGGGGTTGTTGTGTAATTGAAACCTTTATCTGAGCTGGACTTCTTTCTTCTCTGACTTTGGTTCCTGTGAGCCTAACTAGGACCAGGGGTCACTGGCTGCTTCCTAAGGAAGCTGAGTAGGTGTATGTTGTGGCTGCAGTCTTAGTAACTGTTCTCTCTCTCTTTTACAGTGTAAGTTGGAGTTCCATGCTTGTTCTACTGGCAAAAGCCTCACCACTCTCTGTGATGGACCCTGTCCATGTCTTCCAGAACCTGAACCACCAAAACACAAGGCAGAAAAGAATGGTGAGTGGGGATATCAAGAGACTCCCTGAAGGTGGTATCAGTGGTCAGAGAGGGCTGGCATTCCCCAGAGCCATTCTGGGGAGATGGGCTTACTTGACAAGTACTCCAAGTTGTCTAGGGATTCTAAACCGAATTGCCTTGAGCAACCATTAAAAGAAAAAAGAAGAGCTGAGAGTTTTTGAAAATAATTCTGTTCAACCAAGATATACACTAAGTTCGTTTACAGGTCAAATCGGCTGTGGGGTAAGAGGAGCAGGTTTTCAGCATCTAAGTCCAAGGCCTGCCCTAGGGTACATCTTGGTCTTCCTTGAACTCTAATCTCTCAAACCCTTTGAACTTCTCAAGGCCAAATTTCAAAACAGAGACTGCAGAGATGTCACAACAGTAGAGAGTATTCCTCCCTAAGAGCATTTCTTTATTAATATATTCTGCTTGGAATTCAGCACAGAACCAGGGGACAGATGAAAGGAGAATACTTCCCCAGGGGCTGTGGTTTTTCTGCCAAGGCTGAAAGATACAGGAAAGGTTGGGCAGGGAAGGTTATTTTCATGATGGAGAAAGCAATGTTGTTTCACTGGTCTCAGCCCTTTTTGAGGCTTCCTTAATGAGACGCAGGATAGAAGTTTGAATTTCATTGTTGTGAAGCTGGAGCTGTCTCAGTTGTAGCTGACTAACCCATGTAAAATTATGTATGTGTAGGAGTCCCTGAGCAACACAAATGGTTCAGTGCTTGGCTATTAACTGAAAGACTGGAGGTTTGAATCCACCCAGAGATGTCTTGGGAGAAAGACTGGCAATCTACCTCCAGAAGTTAAGCCATTGAAAACCCTATGGAGCACAATTCTCCTCCGGCACACATGTGCTGGCCATGAGTCATAATTGACTCAAGAGCAACTAGTTTTTTTATTTTGTTTTTTTTTGATATGTGTGTGTGTGTGTGTGTACACACATGCACAAGCATGTGCATGCTTATGCCTTCTAAAGTTAGTAACTATTTGTAACAAAGAATGAAAACCAAACTCACTGCTGTTGAGTCGGATCCGGCTCATAGCAACCCCTCCTTGGGTTTCCGAGGCGGTATCACCACGGAAGTAGAATGCCCAGTCTTCTTCTTAGGAGTGGCTGGTGGGTTTGAACTGCCAGCCTTCTGGTTAGCAGTCAAAAACCTTAGGCACTACGCCACCAGAGCTCCTAATGAAGAATGAACAGAATGTGAATGTTTATCTATTTGCCTTTTCCTCCCGTGAATCATCTTCCTCATGGCAAATAGATTACGATGTTTCAGTCTCTATTTATTCATAGTGACTTCAGGAATAGTGTTCAAAAGTTTTTTGGGACGTTGAACTCAGAAAGTAGAAGGACGTTGTAAACCATGGAGCATCGTGATCACAAATAATCTTCAAAGATTATTCTTGATTACAAAAAAAGCTGGTCTTGTTGCATTTTGGCCTGATTCATTGACATAACTGTAGCAGGAAATATTAATTGACATGCATAAACCTCCTTGTAGTATGGTTAAATGTGGTGTTAAGTAACTACAAAGTCCAAAAAATTAACTTCTGTCTAGAGATTTCTTGAGTCTCTTTGTTGTTGTTGTTGTTAAGTGCTGTCGAGTCGTTTCCAACTCATAGCGACCCCATGCACAGCAGAACGAAACACTGCCTGATCCCGCGCCAGCCCCACAATCCCTGCTATACCTGAGCCCATCATCGCAGCCACCGTATCAATCCATCTCCTTGAAGGCCTCCCCCTCTTTCGTCGACCCTCCACC